ATAATTTTATTGCTTATCAGTTAAAATAGTTACTTAAAATTTCGTAGCATGTGATTTTGATAGGATGGTAACTTATTTTAATTAAGATAAATAATTTAATACATACAAATTTTCTGAACTTTAAACAATAATATTGCACTTCTTTCGAAATTTATTAAATAATATATATTTAACAAGTTAAAATATTCAACGTCTATTATTATATATCTCGAATATGTATGAAATACAAACCCCCATGTGTTCTGTAAAATTTAATGCTCTTCCATCTCTATTCAATCTTGCAGTCTAATTTCCGGGCAGCATTACATAAAGGCACGGCCTTGCAACCTTGTCGCGTAATTGATTGCATGGTGCCCATTTTCTTGCACAAGCGACAAAATCATTGGGCTCCTTCCGTTGGAGCTGGAACGCGGTTAGGAATTTCCCCGGGACCCGACGCCGCCGAGATAAATCTTTAGGCGCTCGCCCGCGTGTTTCTTGAGAATTCTCTAATTAAATTATGCAAAATGAACGGGTCTTTCGGGGAGTGCGGCACTGTAAATCATTTTTAGACGCTGCCACGGTTTGAGTCTTCTTTTTCGCTTTTAAGCTAGCGCAAGGTGCTTAAGTTCATGCGTTGAGGGCGCATATCCTGGGATTCTCATTTCGAGAAGGGGACTCTAATGCTTTACAAGTTTATCGAACACGTTGATTTATTATATTTCTTCTTGTGCATTTATTGCCAAGCCAACGATTTTTAAATACGGCTGTTCTATACTTTCCAGTAATTAGAGAGCGTGACCATTGAAGTGCTGAAACGATTTAACTCGTTCAAATTTATTTCTTTTGTTTTCGTCAATTGATAATATTATATTTAAAAGAAAGTACTCGTTGAAAATAGCTATTGATGAATTAAGAGCACGATTTGATTGCCAACGATATTTATGATCGTCTATTTTCTATCACGCGATTCTTATTAAAGCGGTAATATCGCAAGCTTTTAGATGCAAGAATCGCAAAAGCCGTCAATCTGAATACGTGGTGTAGAAGTTTTTAGAAACTGTAAAGAATAACCATTAGCATTTGAAAAATAATTTTATACACGAGAAGCATTTAAAGTAGTCATTAGCTCCACCGTGAAAGCCTCAACATCCAAAAAAATGCCTTTGAATTAATTCAAAACGACCTCGTGTAATAAAAAGTAATGGAATTTCCAGAAGCAATAGTACATAATTGTATCTCGAATCCTCATCAACTGTTGGATTTTAAGCCGATGCACCTAAACCTAACGATGTCTCGATTACACTGAATGCAGCCGGGGAGTTGAAAATCGTAAGGAGGCACGCCAGATGCCGAAAGGCATGCGTTTCTTGACGCCACGCATCGACCAAATGTAAAGGTGACGGCACGGCTGGTTGACGATGCGTGGATAGGGTGGAGATGAGAGGAGTGGCTTCGCCGATTATTTAAGAAACGGCGTTTCCGCGTCGTGGTTCTTCATCGGGCAATAAAGATCAATTATTCGCGAAAACGCAGCGGCAGATAGTCGGATAAAATACAGACGGCTGCTCGAGCAGCTTTAACGGAGTCGACCAAGGAAAAAAGGAAAGGGGAGAGCGATGATAATCTAAACGATCCCAAAATGTGCTGCAGAGGTGTGCACATCGCGAAATTGGCAACAACAGGAGTTGGATATTCGCCGAGCGGCCCTCCGCGCGCGAACTTTCTGTTCTGGTTAGCATTCAAATTGAATCTTCGTGGCCGCTGCTCAAGGAGACTTACCACCGTTAATGGACCCCGCGAAACGCCAGCTTGCGGCAATTGCCGGCAGACGCGCACCACTACACGCAAAGATGAGACGACGAACAGACGAAGAATAGAGAAGGAAGATGGCGCGATACGATCGCGCACAGGATAAAAAAAGAGTGAGCTTATCGCTGTGTTCTTTAAGCTTTGCCGGCAGGCGGGTGGTGGGACACAGTGGGAAAGGGGCTTAATACCACGATGTAGATGGATATTCCGATAAGCCCAGTGTTTTCGGAGCAGAAGCTCTCTTTCGACTGGCAAATTGCGGCAGGAAGTCGATCAATTGATTTCTTGATAGTATCTAACTTACTGGCCTTTCGATACCAACATTAATTTTCGAAGTTGTCATTTTACATTATCACAAAGTATCTTTCTTTTCCCATAAAATTCTGTTAATGTAAATCAACTTTGAAAAAATAAAAATTATATTCCATATATGACCCGAATATAAACATTTAATATTATCAAAAATTTGGTTTTCATGTTACGAAACTTTAGTTTAAAATTGTTGTTTAAATTTTTGTAATCAAGCTTTTCTTTAGTATTTTGAATTAATAATGAACTAAGGGCTACAGATCTTTTATATTTCTTTCTAATCCGTTTATAATTGCACAATTGTATTTGATCAAAATTTCTACAAGTGTATAAAATATAAAAAGTATATATCAATTTATTATATATATATGTCGTATATTTTACTTTCATTAATTATGATCTTAATATGGCATACTATGATTGATTATCTGTCTTTTATGCTTCATTCATTAGAATAAAGTAAAGCACAGAACGTTGTATATTAAAATGTTCTTGTTTCATATATTTTTCAAATAGACTTAATTATCAAATTATTATATTTCTGCTAGTTACTAAACGATCATGAAATTTAATTTTAATTTCTTTACTTTTCATATCAACATACAATCATACTCTAGTTTTCCTTTATTAATATAAATATTTATTTACAATTACGGATTTTAATTATTTATAATTGTTAACATAATTATTGTTATGATTTTGAGCATTTTATATAGTTGAATCAGTTTTATTGATGTATCAAGGAGCTGAGAATTAATTGTGAAAAGTGATTCATCGTTGCCGTTTTTATCTTATAGAAAGCGTGAATACGAGAGAATCAGATGTATTGAGATTGTTTGTGTAGAAGTCATAAGCAGTGTGTTCAGTCATAAGAATGAGAACAAATTTCTTGAAAAAGAGCGACATGGCTCGTTTAGTCGGAGGGTTTGTAATTTGAATGCAGAGAATGAAAAAAACCGGGAATGGGACTGGGGGAGCACGATGGCTGAAAAAAATATAAAGTACGTACAATCATGTTGACGTTTCCCGCCTTTTCCCTGCCACGAGGAACAAATTAGCTGGACTGATTTAGGTTGCTCGTGAGTTGGAGTTTCAAGTTATCGCGTTACTCCCTCGCTAACTCTCTCTCTCTCTCTCTCTCTCTCTCTCTCTCTCTCTCTCCCTCTTGGACTGACTTTAAAAGACCACTTTCTATGTTTACCGCAAGAGTGGAATTTGAGAATGACGCCAGTATATAAAATGTAATTTAAATAAATTTCGTTTCAATAAAATTTCAAATTTTTTGCCTCTACGATTTAAATGGATCAGATAACAACTAGAAGAATGTACTTGAGAATTTCACTTAATTTCTTATTTGAATTTTTCATAAAAATATATACAATAATATCTAGTATTAAATGTTTTTCTCTTTATTTCTCATATACATAACAACCTTGTATCTTATAAATATATATGTTATCTTCTTACATACTTAACTGCATACTTAATAATATAATAATAAATAAATATACATAATAATAATTGAAATTGTAACATAAACAAAAGTTTGAACAGTTTGTAACCAGAAAATGTCATTTTGACACATAAATAATATTAAATCAAAATTCTAAGTGAAGAATTGAATTATATTTTATGTTATTTTATATATAAATAATAACATTAATTACAAGCTAATGAAAACAAATATCATGAAAATGGATAATGAAAAATTTAAAGAGTTGTAATAATTGATTTAATTTAATACGATAATTTAAGTTATATCATCAATTTTCATTAATATGACAATCCTTTAGGTTATTTACGATTATTATTATTTAACTAATTAATCCAATGTTAGATAAAAATAATTGTATTTGGATACAAAATTGCATTAAATATTTAGAGATAATTAAGAGAAAATGAGTACATTCATAGGTGTTTAAAGGGTAGCAATCGGATAAGCCTTGTCATCTTACGTTATTAAATTGGCAACAATGAGTTTTACAGTGTGTAAGCATAGATTAAGTAAGCTCTGGTCAGGGTTTACTCCCTCGCATGTCTTGCAGTCTCAAGGTTATTGCACCCTCTCCATCTTGCCTATTCCGTACCCAGTGACGATCCTCATTCTCCTTATCCTTGTCATCTGAAGTTCGTGCTGAGATTCAAAATGTTTAATTTGGAAGGCTGCTGAGTTGCTCCCCTGAGGAAATAGCCGAGCGAATTTCAGACTCGCGAGCCGCGAGGAAATATTGTGCATGCGAGCTATGTAGAAGCCAGTATAGTAGGTATCGAGTACTGACTATATCTCAACGACGCATGTCTTCATATAATTCTATTAAAGTAACTATGCAAGCTCTGACTCTGCCCATCACCCTCCTTGGATTTAATTACGAAGCAAGCGAGCCGTGCCCTATTCCACCTCTCATTTCTTTCTATACATATCATATACTCATGCTTATACTTATATTGATATATATCACGTATCCACACAAGCATATGATTATATATATGCACAATTCAGAAGCACAACTTCCAATTAACTCTCATTGTCAAATTAACCTGATCTAAAAGGTTTTAATTAATAAACCTCTCACAGATTTATAATTTTCATGCAAGTTTCGGTATTTCCTCTTAAGCAGTTGCAGTAACGCTACCTATCATTCCCTTCTTCTTTTTCTCTCTTCGAGATACAGATATATATATATATATATATATATATTGAGAGAGAGAGAGAGAGAGAGAAGAGAATATCTATGTATCTGAAATTTTCTTTTAAATTGTTAAATAGAGTATTTAGTCTGAGATTAGTTCATTTGAAAAGCAATAAACACATAATTGTTAAGATATATTGAACAATAATAGTTGAAGGAACAACAACCCTATATTTATTAAAGCTAATCTCTATTTCTTATTGCTTACAGCTGAACTTCAAATGGACGTTTTGAGGGAACGGCAAGTCAAGGACAATCTAGAACGTCAATTACAAGATGAGCAGAAGATCAGAGGTCAGTTTCTATCAAACTTTATACTATTCCATATAAAATTTGTAAGACTATGAGAGCATTAAGCATAGGGATCAGATTAGCGGTGCTTTTATAAGTAAGCCGGAGGCATGTGATTAACTAATAGTGTGCAAGAAGCTCCTGTAATAAGTAGATGGATCAAAGTCCGGGGCAAGAGGTTGTAGGACATATGGACACCGTATGAAAAGCAATATTTCATGCTAGAAAAGTGATTGGGGCATTGGTTTGGACTGGCCACAGCCTCGGTTGGCTTCGGTTACCTATGCGGGGGCTCAGGTCCTTGTATCCAACGGGTTCTGGAGAGAGGAGAGGACGTTGAGCCGAGGGTTAACTTGGTAATAAATCAAGAAGCCGTAGAGAGACTGCGTTCTCGCACTATTAAGTTGGTGCTCGTACGAACCAGAGGTTACAACTCCCCCGCTTCCGTATATCCTATTATTCTAGCATCGAACTTCCCACCATCTCTAACCTATAGATGATCGGATACCTGTGGTATTGGTCTCGGGGGCATCCTCGCCCTTACATACTCGTGGCCTTCACTCCGAGCATCTTATGCGTACGCATGGATGCTAGCATCGTTACCACTGCTTCTGGGCTCTTCCTGGGTAATAGCAGTGAAGAAGAGAGACCGAGCCAAAGGCCGTGATCACTCAGGCAAGTTTGTATCGGATGTCAGTCCGTAATAGAATAGTCCTCTCGGTCTCGCATTTAGGGGGAACCTCCTTGCGCTACGTCCCTTTGAGCCTTGCTGCTGGCTGACGTTGCTAGGTCTTCGCTCTTTGGCCTGGAGTTGGCTCTCGATTCTCGAGCTTTTGCCACTGACTGATTTGTTATACGCTCTGGAGATACGTGCATCACTTGATTTCCATTTCGTTTCTCTAGCCTCGTTCTTCTTACTAACTTCACTGGAACAATTTTTTATTCGTATGATTTATGATTTTTCAGCGAACTTTCGAAATCCATTTTGACTGTGCCTCACTTTCCTTTTTTGAAATTATACATTGTAAAGATCATCTAGCAATTTAATATGTAACAACTGTTTTGATTGCCTTATAACCATCAACTTTCAAGAAAGAACAGCAATTATAAAGCACTTTCTTATTATGCGTATTTAATTGCTTCCGTTAAACGAGCTCTCGTAAAAACATTAGGAATTCCAAAGAAGCTGAATAACGAAAGAAAACCATGCTACATTATAAAACTTAAATTAGTATGGCTAATGCATATGCGTTATACCTACACTCAAACTTAACACTACACTAATTTGAAAGTCTAGAGATTTTGAATATTCAATATTTTTTATCAATTTCTATAGTAGGAATCTTGTTAACGAAAAACTTTACGTATAAATTATACGTTACGTATAGATTACGTAGAATGTACGTTAGACAATCGTTCTTTTTATATTCAATTTAAAAAAAATTTTTTGTTCGCCCTAGAGTTCATATAAATTAAGAGATTTTTAAAGTATAAGTATAACTATATTAATTAAGAAAAAATCATATTTCGTTTATAAATTAATTTTTAGTTTTTCTTCATTGGGTAACATTTACCGTACAGATGGATAAATGACAAAATTTCAAATTCTTTTCAATACGTTTCTTTGGTAGCTCCTAACTTGAATAGACTTTTTACTTTAAACCATATATAAAAAATTATAATAATAACAATTATAATAAAAATATCATAGCTGATATTAAAATAATCCGTTACAAATTATGTTTTAGGTTTTATAATCTATAATTCAACATTATTTTGTAACATAAAACATTTCTTTTTTAATTGAATTTATATTATTTAAACTTATGTTGTTATATTGAATATACATAAATATGAATATTTTTAATTTTTATTGAATAAAGTGTTTTAATATTTTATCAAGTATAAATATTTTATAACTTAACTACTCATCCTAAGCATAATTAATGGATATCTCATGTCCTATAATGCGGTGAACTTGATGAATCGAATGCTCAAATTATTTCATTATTGTACTATATTACAGAATTACTTCTCTCTCTTTTTGGACTTCGTATTCTTGCTTTATGCTTTATATGGACGAGTTTTATTTACATCTAAAACTCTTTGCTTCGTATTTTTCAGAAGATAGACATACAATTCAAATTGAATGCGTACACTTTCTTGCATTAATATGCTACAGAAAAAAGTTGTTTTCTGCTAAATTTATATATATATGTGTATATATATATATATATATATATATATATATATTTATATTTGTCGGTTTGCATACGTTTGTGAGTACATATACGTGTGTGTATATACGCGTGTCTGCATACGTGTGTTTGTGCGCGCGCCTGACTATATATATATATATATATATATATATATTTGATTTATTTATGAGGTATTTTACCACTGTGATCGAGTGTTATGATCGAGTTTTATTTTAGGTTCTTAACGAACAAATTCGATTTTGAGAAACGAGTAAGAGGCAATGTAAAAATTGATGAAACGTAATACTCGAGTATAATCTATACGGTTAAAAATTAATTATGAATCTTGAAATTGCGTGTTAAAATTTTATTGACAATTTAAGAGAGTAATCTGTTGTTGCGTTTCAATTTCTGGATATTAAATTTTTTTACTATTTTCAGCCGATCTTGATAAAATTTCGTATTTTGAAAGACTATCAAATTTTTACCGTGAATGTAGGAGTTTATTTTAAATTAAAATTTTATTTAGCTGAAAATAAATAAATTTCCAAATTGCTTCATTATTTAATAGTTGAAAGATGTAATTGCTTAAACGGTCATTGATTATATCACGAATATCATTTTCATATCATTGAGTGATTATTGTTTGTGAAAAAAAATAAGAATTATAGAAATTTATTGTTGTCTGTTGACAAAGAAAATAACTGAGCAGCATGTTTTTCGCTAATGTTGAAAAATAAAAATACCAACATCGTATATTAATTTGAAAATATAAAATTTCAAGAATGGAGAACGAGATGCAAAAGAAAATTGGTATACACACTACAGGAGCGCGTATCCAAGCTACTGGGAATAAAAATTTCATAAGTATATTAATCCCACAGTCATCCCGGCGCGCACAGCCTCTAAAACTGTGTAAACGAAAGACTCGAGCGACCACGCGCGTACAAAATTGAGCTTTCCCATTCCAGAAATGAAAAGGCAGGAGAAAAAAGAAAAGAATCAAAGACGCCCATACAGCAGCGTCAGATTAAAGCGTGAGTCGGCACTCGCAGATTTGCCCACATCGCAATATACATTGTAAATAAAATATAGTCAACGACAATGTACGTTAAACGAACACACGAACACAGATACAGAGTTTCAGATTTCGCGTTATACCAGGGATTGGGATCAGTGACGCGAGACTTTTTTCCCAACGTTCATCTCCATCCGACTGTGCTTATGCCCATAAGCAAGCGCAAATATGGTAGTATATGAATGTATAGTTTACAATCTCATTTTTCGTGTTTCTTTTTTTTCCACGGTAGAACCATTTTTCAAGAAGCCTACCAAAAATTCTCGTCCAACTTTTGAATTCAATAAAGTTCGCACGCGCTTGCGGCGACATCCTTGTGATAGGCGGACAAAGACTGCTGAGAGATAAATATGTAAAGTCCCTTGTGCGAGTATGCAAGTTATTAAAGAATAAGCGAGAAAGAAGGAGAAAGAGAGATAGAAAAAGAGACAGAGAGAGAGAGAGAGTGAATGAGAGAGAGAGGGTGAGAAAATCAAGAGAAGAAGATGAAGAAGACTCAGGCGGCGAGATAATCTTGCGTTATTCTCACAACCGCGGAGCTTTTCGTATTTTCTACGAAGACTCATATTATCATAATGTACTTATGATCTCTTACTATTTTTCAATTTTTCGACAGCTTTATTCCACTTAATATTTTTTAAATTTTACGACTCATAAACTTTACCCGAGATAATGACAAAATTTTTATGAGAATCCAGAAAATAATGAGAACATTCAGAGTTTAAGTTAAATACTTATATATTGGAATGTGTACATAAAGATTTACGATTTCTTTTAAACAAATCTTAATACTTAGGACAAAAATATTACATATTATAATTATACTAATAATGATACAATATTTTTATAAAATCAGGTGTTGTTTATATATTATGTATTAATGTATCAATTTTTTATTTCCTTATCAAGTTTGAAATATTAAAATAACCATGAAACTACATTACGAAGCTAGCGAATGTTTAAAAACAGACCATATACAGATTGGCATTATTATGTCAGTATTCAAATAATAATGATATTCAGAATTAAACATTTAATTACTATAAAACAATACAACCCCATCTTAATATTTACATACAATCTTAAGAAGATTGATAAAAAGAATAGCAGAATAAATAATAATAATAAACAAAAAAAAAATACAGCTGGTGCAGCCAATAAATGGCTTATCACATAAATAAAAAGAAAGAGTCGAAAGTAATAATCAACATGAGTAGCATATTTACGGTAATACGAGTCTATAATAACCGTCGGTCCATTAGTCAAGTATCTTGATGTCAATATATGAATTAGACGGCCAATCCGCACAAATGACAGGGTTTCATTCAGTTATATCTTCTTCAAGTATAACTTTATAACCGAAAGCGAATTATACGTTGCCTGCATTAATCTTTTGAAAATACCTTTTAAATTATAGTATAATAGTTTTCTTTTCATTTTGATTGCTTATATGGATTGACAATGTTTTGATTGTGTGAGCAAACAAGGTTTTTTTTATTATGAATAATAAAAGTATAAATAATAATCGGTAATCCTTATGAGGTTTCATTTCATATTTTATTATTAAAAAATTAAATATTTCTAAGTAAATATATACGGTCAGTATAAAAAGCATTAAAATATATTGATATAATTTTTGTTTAAAAATTTACTCAAAAATCAAGTTTCACCTAACAAAATAGTTGATATCATATAGTACTATATAGTTTTTAAAATTACTTTCGAAA